TATTTCATTTGTTTTATTGTTAATTGTTGTAATAACACGAAGAAACACTTGGTTTGTTTCATTTTTAATTTCTCATATTATCAAAACATAGTGTTCGTGAAATCGATATTTCTCGAAAACGGATCGAGATACCGAAATGAAGAATACACAATTAATGGAAAAATGATAGCTCTTTCAGGTTTTGAATCAAGTTTCATGTTAAATATACAAGGTAAAAAGTTATTAACTAAATTTTCGGTCAAATTGGTCGTAAGTGGCGCCGTCTATGAGCAATGCTGAAATTACAACACGCATCTTATTCGTTGCCTAAAAAAAAGTAGTTTCACAAATTTTCAAGTTCCTAACCTAGATATTATCAGAATAATCGCAAAAAAACGATTTAAAATTTTAAAACCCTGTATTTCCGAAACTATCAACTTTCGGATGAGGCATATTTGCGCCAATGGTCACCATTTCACGTGTTGTATCTTCAGCTTTCGACTTGCGCATTGTTAATGAATCACTCTGTATATGTATATTTTTAAATGGGGTGTTATTTTCTTTATACTGACGTACAAAATTCTATTTTAAAACTTAAAAGAAACAAATACATATAAAAAAGACACTTACCCCTTAGTACAACCCCTAGAAGAGAAAGGATGTTGGGATGTCTGAAAGCACTCATGATTTCGACCTCCCTTAAAAAGTCTTCTTCGGCTTCTCTGGTGGCCGAGTCTTTCAGTACCTTAATCGCAACTATCTCGATTTGGTCGGTATCTTCGGAAAGCAGTTCTCCTGGAACAAAAGTGATTTTTTCTTTCCTGACTCACATCAGTTCTTACATTCTGTAAAGCAGTGATATACAGCTGTGAAAAATAAACCAACACTTCGCGATTAATATGTAAACGTGATTTAATTCAAGAGAAAATTAACGTCCTCTTCCAACGTTTATGAACAGGAAAAGAAATTCTAAATCAATTTAAATAACAATATTTAATGAATAATGTAAAAATGGCTCAAAGGCCGTTTAACTTTTAAATTAGCGGTTCTCAAAGTGTAAGTTGAAGGGACGGATTAAAAAAAAATTATATCACCTTAAATATTTGTGATTTTAAGGAATGACTTTCGTTGGAATTATTTGAGGAGACAAGCTAAAGACTCAGGAATTAAAGGGTATTTACCCCAAAAACATTTAATTCATTTGAAGGATTTGAATGTTTTCATCACTTAAATCAAGTTAGTCCAGTCAAATTAGATTTTTATGTGCCAAAATTTAGTTCAGTAAACAAGGACACGTAAAAATTTTTAAAAATTCAAACTATTCTTCCCCAGCTGAATGTTAGGGCTTCATTTTCAAAATGACGTCCAAAGTTCGCAAAAAATAGTTGTTTTTTTTCATTTAAAGAAATCCTAAACATTTTAGGTAAAACAAAAGTTGTAGAACTTTTTATAACAAAAAATTTGAGCTTAGCCCGATGTCAATTGATAAACAAATGTATTAATTATTACAAAAAAAAACACTAAAAATTGCATTTTTTAAAAACTTACATATTTAAAATGAAAAAAGATTTTGTCTATTCCCACTACATTTTAAGGAGGTAAGTAGATTTTACCGTAGAAGTGGAAATTGCAATGAACAACGGGAGGTAAGTGAGGTAGCTTACTACATTTTATTAATTATTATGATTGAATATTTACAATAAATATACATTTACTAACATTTATAAAATGTGGATAATTATTCCCCTCGCGTTTAATAATTGTCACATTTTTCTCAAAACGATTTGATCGCTCCATTTCAGTCACGGGAGGCTCAATATTGTAGTATAACATACCCAGGGTTCGACAAAAAATAAGTAAACGTAGTTGTGGCCAAAAACATGTGATCGTCATAAGGAATCCCTACGTTGTGTGTATTTATTTTTTATTGATCGGAAGGCACTGGCTACTAACTTTGTAGAGAGGATGTATGGTTTAATTATATAAAACAAAAGCAGAGTAAATACACCTAACCTTTATATACATACAATTCAAATTAAACATGTGACAAATAAAAATAACAACAAAAACATTAACAACCATTTAACATCAAATGAGAGTGCCAGGCTCACCTAGAGCTCCTGCGGGGAAAGAGCATGGCAGAGAAACCCACGATCGTTGCTCTTACTACCCAAATATAAATACAAAACAACCGCTAACCAAAGGCATAAATTAAGAACCTTTGCTAATGATAAATAAGACCTGTCTCATTTAATGTGTCACTAAATGTCATCTGTTACCTCATATTAGTCATACACACTTCCAAGTAAAACTGAAGAGGTTTGGTGTTAGTTAGCCGGCAGAGCCGGAAGGTACTGGAGTCCCATACGGGAGGCAATCCAGCTATAGTTGAGATTTCGGAAGATCCTTCATAACACTGGAGTCCCATACGGGAGGCAATCGAGCTTAATCCAGATTCGTTCCGCACGGGCGAAAATGTTAGTAAATTCAACAAGGCTCGTATAGACGTATGACATAAAGTGAGCACAAGAAATCAAAGAACAACCTAATCATGATAAAACAAGTTAAATGTGAAACAAAGAGGTCGTTAATGCAATATCTGGGCAGTCACGACAATATACATATTTTAACATGTAATAAATAATGAGCAATCTTTAATAATAATTGTAACAATTTTATCTTAGAAAAATATACGCCCCTGAGCGTAAGACAATGAAGGCTAAACATATACAGAATTATTATCATGAAACATCTATATTTTACGTATAACGTAATCGTGGCAAAAACAAGTTAGATGTGAAACAAAGAAGTCGTTATTGTAATGTCTGGCAATCAGGACAATACATATATTTTTAACATGAAATAAATAATGGGCAAACTTTAAGTATAATTATAACAATTTTACCTTGGAAAAATATATGCCCTTGAGCATAAAGCAATGGAAGCTAAACTTACAAAGAATTATTATCATGAAACATCTATAATCATCACAATCATAAGATTACATAGAACAATTAACAACAAAGTACTTAAAGAATATTACCTACTAACAAATAACACTTTAAACAATTTTATTATTTTTCACTACTTGGACACACTGCCCGCCGATCGTCTTGCTACCTATCTGCACACTGTTCCCACTTCCACTGCCTATCTTCAACTATCTAGCTTCCTTCCAGAAAATGTCCTCCCTAAACGTTTTCTTTTCTTTTTTGCACTTTCTTTTACCAACCGTCAATATTACTTTTTCATTGTTATACAACACCTGTGTAACAGGTGATGTCGAAGTTGATAAGATAAGTACGGTTTTGCACAATATTATCTGACTGATCCATTAAAACACCATGATGCGACGTACCTACTACTAGAACCTGGAGTTGAAGTATCATTGTAAAGAATCCTGTTGGGTATTTCATTTTTGTTACTTAAACTGTCAGCAACATAACTTTCTGCAATTGTGGCTGATTGCCACCCACCATGTCTTTTGATTGCTAATACATCAACTCCTGTATTAGCCAAACGTTGCCGNCCTAGAGTTGAAGTATCATTGTAAAGAATCCTGTTGGCTATTTCATTTTTGTTACTTAAACTGTCAGCAACATAACTTTCTGCAATTGTGGCTGATTGCCACCCACCATGTCTTTTGATTGCTAATACATCAACTCCTGTATTAGCCAAACGTTGCCGATGTTCTTCGGAATGAATGGCCTGTATATGTTTCAGGATGTTCTAATTTCAAAAACTGTGCAATCTTATTAGAATACATAGAAAGGGTATTATTGCTGACTGGTTGGTTGTAATATCTACCTGCTTAATAGCTCATAAACAATCATGAAATTTCAGTTTTAATTTTTACATGTCTTTGGTTACTGAACTAAATTTTGGCAAAACCGAGGTATTTTCGACAATTTGACCGGCCTAATTCACTTATTTCCGTGAAAGTACAACGACTCTTCGAATCCTTGATCACGTCTTCAAGGTCATCTCAAGAAAACTCGATCTGTCGTCCACGTATCTACATAAAGATAAATATAAATTTCCGGCTGTTTGTTTGCTGTAATCCGCGCCTTTCTCTGTAATTTCGTATTCAAATTTATATTAGAAGCAGTGGAAAGGAAGAAGTCGCGTGGGAGAGACCTACGGATTTTATCCCCGTTACAATGAATCAGCGAAATTCGGTATTCTGATTCGGAGGAAAATATACATCCCAATTATATATTTTGCGGCAGTTCGCTTAATAGCTATTTAGATTGCTGATGCGGTAATTAATAGCAATTGTACGTATATATTTGGAAGCCGAGGGAAAAGCGAGAGTGTATATCAATTAGTTCAAGGCACCATCCTCCGTTTAGGAAAGGAAACTTAAGGGAGTCTGAATGAGCGGCGGCGGCGTCGTAATTGAAATAGGAGCCTCTTATCCGAAGGTAACGAGCAACAGCGCAACCTGTTGCGAAAAAAATTGTAAGGAATAAATAAAGCGTATTTTTAAATGATTGCCCTGTAACGCGTTTCCAATTAGCAGAGACTAATGGGACGGCGAAGACATAAAGTGAAAATTGTATAGGCAATTTTCGAGACCTTGGCGAAATTTGTCCAATTTTCTTGCGTTCATCAGTTGAATCAGTGGAAGACACCTTAAATTAATTAAAAACAGTATACAACAGCAACAGAGTTAAACCGCAAATGATACGCACGAAATGAACATTTGACTAGGCGGTATCTGTTTTGGTGTGGGTGAATCGTATATCCACGGAGATTTTTGGTGGGGGCTTAACTTTTGGCGGCACAATATGTTAAAAAAATTCGAAAAATGTCGTATTTTTCTTCCTATTATGTATCTTTTCAAGAGTTGATTTTAGGCGAAAATGGAAAAGGAACAAATTGCTTGTAATTAAAATTTGTACAAAATATGACTAGTTACAAATCGAATGAATCATGATTATTATTGTAAAAATCGAAAAAATCGCCAAAAATGGGGTTAAAAACATTACTTTTTAGGGAATTTTTTTGGGGTCTTTAAATTGGGTATAGGACCTTCATACTTGGCTCAAGAAAACTTCATGTTATGTAGAATCATCACACCAAATTTCGTCAAAATCGGTTCTATAGATTTTGCATAATAATTTTGCAATCCAGATTTTGNCACCGACTTTCTAAGTAATGAAAGCGATATAAAAATTATTGTTGAATTTAAAGTATTATGGCACCAGTGTTGTTCCAGAGCTTAAATAATTTGTAATAGAATCTATAGAAAATCGTAATAGATTGACAGAAAACTGTAATAGGATTTGTTCGTTGACTGAAATGTACTGTTTTCACATCTTTAAACTTTAGTTTACTCTGTGATTTAACCTATATCATTTTATTTTTTAACAAGTTTGTTTTTATTGAGTAAAGTTTCGTTTTGTTATAATTATATTTTATTTTAGTGTTCTTGTTTCTTCAAGGGAACTATTTGTATTTTTGTTTTCTTTGGTTGAAATAAATTTATAAATATTCTATGGTTTTTCATCTCCAGAATTTCCTCACTGTCGAGCTAAAAATTCAATAGGCCTTTTTTGCAAGTGAAGTCCATGTGACAACTAAGATCAAAAGAGATAGAAATAGTAACTGCAAGTCAGATATTCAGCAATATTCAATCGCGAAAAAAAGCCTAATAGTGTAATAGATTTTGACAACTTAGTAATAGGGTAATAGAATTTTCTCAAATGTAATAGATCTAGTACAATTGTAATAGCTGGAACAACACTGCTTGGGCTAGATAGTAGATATTCTAAATTAGTGAACGACTTACGATTCCGATTACTCTCTAGTCCTAGCCCTGCGTATAAGCAGGCAACGTACGGCGTTGTTTAATTCAGCGGCCACGGGCTGGCCCGAATGTCATGTTGGTTGCTGCCGAGATCATGATTTAAATATAATTTTAAAATTTGGTAGGGGGAGTTTCAAAGGAGGTAACGCATTTTAGATTTAATTTTATAGGAGTCGTCAAATCACTTCGATAAATATATACACAAATTTTTGTTTATTCTTCTGAAAATTTCAGGGTGGGCACTGACCACCCTGCCCACCCCGACGAGCCGCCACTGAAATCGAGTCTATTGCAAGTTTCTATCCACACTCGAGCACTGCAAACAAAAATAAAAATTCTCCTAAAGATATTCTCTATACTTATGCAATACCATATTACAAGAAAACATACCACATTATTTTAAAAAACAAAATACTTTTTTCTGATTTACAGTTTATAGGTAGGTACTTAAAATAATAATAATAATTACCTTTCTAATCCTTACGTAATCTCAAAAGGGTTAATCCTTCACCAGTTTTGGATAAACAATCGCGAAAAGCACAATAATAACCAAGCATTTTATTGATTTCAATTCATGCTAATTGTAGAGGGAAACGAAATACAATACAAATAAATCCACTATCAATTAACATTATACAACACGACTGTCCACCGCCAAAAAACTCGTTTCTTCTATTTATATTTGGCGGCTCTGACAGCCACTGACAACTGGCAACAACACAACCCAATTCGCGCATGCGCATACGAAAACTGTTAACGCAGAAAGCCTTGCTGTCGTTTCTCGTTGATATAGTATTCTCTGGTTAAACCGCAAATGATACGCACGAAATGAAAATTAGACTAGGCGGTATCTGTTTTGGTGTGGGTGAATCGTATATCCACGGAGATTTTTGGCTTTTTGGCTTTTAAATATCACTAGAAACGAAAATTTTTCTATGCGCATAAAAAAACGTGGGCTTAACTTTTGGCGGCACAGTATGTTAAAAAAATTCGAAAAATGTATTTTTCTTCCTATCTTTTCAAGAGTTGATTTTAGGCGAAAATGGAAAAGGAACAAATTGCTTGCAATTAAATTTTTTACAAAATATGACTAGTTACAAATCGAATTAGTCATGATTATTATTGTAAAAATCGAAAAAACCGCCAAACATGGGGTTAAAAAACATTACCTTTTAGGGAATTTTTTTGGGGTCTTTAAATTGGGTATAGGACCTTCACACTTGGCTCAAGAAAACTTCATGTTATGTAGAGTCATCACACCAAATTTCATCAAAATCGGTTCTATAGATTTTGCATAATTTTGCAATCCTGATTTTGAAAAAAATTTTGCAAAGTTTCAAAATTTTGCGCAGCAAAAACCAAGGCCCTTAGATACTTTAAAATTTAATCACATATAGAAGGGCTCTCAAGCTTTCAAACGCTCTTTGAAAAATTCGAATCCGTCAATTAGGAGATCTCTGGCGCTTGTTTAAACATTGGTCGAATTTTTGTACTTACAAACAATTAGAACAACTTTGTGATTATTCAATCAAATCAAATTTTTTAAAGTAGGTTTTAAAAGTTATTGAAAATACGCTTCTTTAAAAAAAACAGATCGATTGGTCAATTAGTTACGTAGTTATAGGCGATCAAAGTTAACCGTTATTTACACTAAATGTACTGGAACATCCGGGCAAATTTTTCGAAAAATACCTTTGGTATTCCGAGTACTTACCAGATCTAAGTTTGCAATACTTTTCTTCATTGGCAACCTACTTTAAAACGTGTTTAAAGTTATTTATGGAAGCGAGAAACTTAAGAAAATCGTACGGGTGGTGGTGGTGGGGGAAGCAGAGAGCGCAGCCGCTTCGGCCTGCTCGAAATTGAATCGGTGAGTTCAAAACCGCGACGCGCTTAAAAAGTTTTAATATCTCAGCTTCTAGAGGTCCGATTTTGGGAAATTTTTTTAAATCTATGTCTCGCGATTTAAAAAAAACAATTAGCGTATTTTCAAATGCCTATCGTTAATAATTATTGGCCTTTCAACAGTCCGATAATTATTTATCTCTAAACTTCCTTTAATTATCAACTTTATTTTTTTATTGTGACATTTTAATCTATTATTATCCATTTCACTTTTATCTCGGGTTGTCGTTCAAAGATTCAGTTCTTTAACTAATTGTATACTTACCTTTGAAGACCTTTCCGAAACAGCCCTCTCCTACTTCGTTAAGGAACTTGAGCGTCTCCTTGCGCAAAACCGGCACTCCAGTGCCCGAGCAAGCGGAATATTGAGGGTTCGGAGCGTACCTTTCAGCCACCAGCAGGCTGTGTTTCAGATTTATTGGGGAGGCCTGAAAAGAAAAAGTCAACTGCTTTAATTTACAAAAATTACAATTTGCAACTGAAATAAGTAAGAAACGTAAGAAATTTGTATAATGTATGTTTTATGATATTCAGTATTAAAAACATATTAATGCAAAGGCAAGAGAAGTTATAATTTTGAAAGTTGGGTGCCCATAAAAATATAAACACTTCATAAGACCAGACCATGATGTCCTCATGTTTTTGGGGTAGCTGAATGCGATTCTGGGATCCGTTTAACCCGATCAGGTCGGGATCAAGGTCAATCCAAGGTCATATCGCAAAAAAAGGTAATGCAAACAATTTTACATTTCTTATATGTTTTTGGGGCCGCTGATTTCGAATCCAGCGTTAGATTTTCAAAATTCAAGATGACGGATCCAATATGGCAGATCCAATATGAAATATATGAAAATTTTTAATACTCAGTCCGTTATATTGGATCCGCCATCTTGAATTTTGAAAATCTCCCACTAGATTCGGAATCAGCGGCCCCAAAAGCTCCTTTAACCACATACAAATTTTTTAATGTCTCCGTTTTCATTGCAAACACAATACAAATAAATGGATTAAAATGTTTGAATATTCATGAATTTTTTTCTCAGAAAATATGCTTCTAATTGAAAAACTAATAGAGACACTTAAAATGTCACGTAGAATTTGACAATATTTTTTGTTTACCAATATTTTAAAATTTTTAATACTCGGCCCGCCATATTGGATGCGCCATCTTGAATTTTGAAAATCTAACACTGTATTCGGAATCAGCGACCCCAAAAACGTATAAAACTAGTCAAATTTTTTGCACTAAGTTTTTCCGTGAATATAACCTTGGATTGACCTTGATCCTGAACTGATCGGGTTAAACGGCCCCCAGATTCAGATTAAACGACTCCAAAAACTGTTATTTCGGACCAGGTACTGCTTTTTTGTGAGGCTGTGTAATATTGCTGGTATTTTTATAACTTATTTTTATGTATTATTGTGCTACTTAATTCAGTACACGCCACTGGCACGCCGTTGGTCGTATATTGTTGTCAAAATGAGAAATTTCTTATGTGTCACCATTTATGGCAAGCGGCACACATTTTAGACGCCTTTAGAGCATTAAAAGTGCAATAGAATTTTCGTCCGTTCTATAATCTAGGACCTGCTTGTGGTGGATGTAGTTTATTAATCTATTTCTAATCACTTAGGGGTAATCGAAATAAACTTACCACCGCATTATGGCGTTTGGACCTCCTCTTGAGGCATATGGTAAGGGAGAAGACTATAACTAAACTAAGTACAATTGTGAAAACCGATGGAACTATGTAACTCTCCAGATGTTGGAATTCTGTCGTCGCTGCTGCAGGTTGGTCTTCCTATAAGAAAATTCAACAGTTTAGTCGCAGAATATTTAAATCTACTCAAAACATACTGCTGATATTGCTACAACTAAGACTGAATTTTTGATATTGAAGAACAGTGCTCTTCATTTATTTCAATTGATAAGATTTTTTAGAAAAAAAATATTTGTTTGAATTAGTTTAATGCCGTATGCAGTTATTAAATTAAAATGTCACTATTTTATGACAGTTTGTTAAAAAAATATTTTATCCACAATCACCTTATAGACTTTTATCCACACATATGAACCCTCTAAAATGACACTTTATCCACTAGTGGAATAAAGTACTTTATTTCACAAGTAGAATAATGGAAAAATAATAAACTTATAATACATGAAATTTAATTTATATACTTATTAACATTAACATTTGCATTTATAGTAATAGATTTTTCGTCTTTTGTTTTATCACATTTAACTTCCTTTCCGTTAATAACAACCCTTGTGGCATTGTTGCCATCACTTTCGGAACGCATAACATCTGCCGAAGATTGTGAAGAATTTGCACAAGTTACGGATGTCTCTTTTTGTAAGGAACAGCTGTATTTTCCTTGGATTTTCCTGACAATATCAAGTTTGTTAGATATAGACTCCTCAACGTATCTATTAACGCATCAAAAATTGTACTAGCTAAAAAAATAAATTTTTACAGCCATTTAAACATTTAAACATTTAATTTGTTAATAACAATTAAACTGACCACTTTCAGGTTTTGCGACCAAGTTTTTTGAATTCAGGAAGTCAAAATACTTAGGAATAAGTTGTTTTCAGCCGTGGCACTCTGATTGGCCACAGAATCCTATCTGGCTCCTAGACTATAAAGAGATATTACCTTAATCATTAAATATTCTTTATCGGAGGCCCCAGTAAAAAATTCTTCAATATGTGTTATTTCCAATACTGCAGTTTTTTTTGCTTTGCACATAGATGAAATTGCGTATTTTTTCTTCAAATTTAAAAAATACGATAGCTTTTATTGTCATTACTCTCCGTTTTTCTCTCAATTCGTAAAATTCGGCGAACACTTTTTCGTAATGTTGCCTGGATTTCACTGCAATAAATGGAAAATTTCTTCTTGGGCCTCTTCAAAAACAGCCACAGGAACACAATTACTTTCTTGCATTTTTACCAAATTCAGATAGAACTGTTTATTAAATAATTGATAGGTAATAAACAAGGTACTATAGCAACCAGTAGATATAACAAAATCTATCACGTTTCATTGAGTACTAGCATTGTATAAGTAAATATTTCCTTATACAATGGTACTAGTAAGAAATATCATGTCGTGCGATTTTTTTTTATTAAATTTCAATAATTCTGACTCCACAAATATGATTGTGATGTGATTATGGATAAAACGTTGTATTGCATTCGTGTTTTAATTGCCTTTTATCCACTTAAGAATATTAAATGTTCGAACTACGTTCTCGCGTTTAAACGTTCTTGCGTGAGTAACATGCTACTTAAAACACCTATACAATAAATTACTATTTTTAACAACTTATGCAGAAAAATGTATACAAAATCAGAACTAAGGATATTTTGATCACGTTTCCGATTTTAGAGATCACCATGAGTGTGTTAAAAAGCCGTTTCCAATAAATTGTGAACTGAAATTTGTTTCCTATATTTCTGGAATTGACATAAGATTAAATTCGACTTACAGAGGGTGTCGTCGAGTTTGTCGTCGTCTGGGTGGCGGGGTGAAGCTTGATGGACGGGGGTTGGACGTTGGGTATTCGCCCTGGGGCTTCGTTCACTGGAAAAAGAAGAACATACCTTCGTCAAACAGCATCAAAGAGGAATTCGAATTATTAATTCCGTAAAAAGGACTGAGTAAATTTTCACTTAAAATTCAATACCAAAATAATTTCAATTATAAATAACAGTGCGTTATTTTTCACTGTGTCTTTTAAAATCGGCAAAAAGCAACACAATTGCTTGCATTCCATAAATACTTACTATTAGCCCAGTCATTATAGACATGAAAGAGCCTGTTTCGGGAAAAAAATACTATTAAAAGTTTCTCTGCGGAATATTATTCGGAAACTTGTTATAAATAAAATATCAAAAAATCAACTCGAGGCTAGTTGGGAAACTTTGTTTTAACAGTGGTCAAAGTTATGGAAAAGTGTTTTTTTGACTCACATAAAAAACTATTATTCAGAGCGAAAAAAAGTTTATACAAAAAAGGTAGGTATTGAATAAGCCTATAAAACGAGAAAAGTCCGATTAAATTCCGATAATTTGTTTATGCACAAGAGATCAAAAATGGTCGAAAATTGCCGTTTTTTTCAATTGCTAATAATTAATGCAATTTTCATCGCAGACACTTGTAATTCAGGATTTTTGAGGCTTTTTACACCCTTAATAAGTGGTAAAAATTTCAGCTCGAAAGCTTCATTGGTTTGACGTTGGCGGAATTTGTTATCTAAGAAGATGCTATTTTTCAATTCATTTTTCCCAAGCTCACAGGCGTTGTAGGGTTTTGATCATTAGTTGTTTTTGTACCTAAATAGTTGTATTGACATAGACATTTACCGAGAATTTAGTTTTTCAAATTTAATTTGTTTAAAATTGACTTTGAAAAAATGTTAATATTTATTAAATTGTTAAGATAGGTAATTATTATAAAATAAAATAGTAACCTCTTTACTTTAGTTTTCTTCGAATTTAAAAAAAAAATCGTTGTTGTAAGTTGATTAGAAGCTGAGATAATTTTTTTTATTTATTTAATCGCAGTGACCTTAATTATTAATATTAAGAGCCGAAATTTGGAGAGAGTATACATTAAGAGCTATATTTTCATGTCCTACATTAACATTAAGGTGAATTCAACTATTTAATTTCGAAAAAGAAGATAGCGGCGATGCGTTCTATTACTTGGTCTAGCGAACGAGTGGGGAAGGCGAGGCTTAGCATGCGCGCTTAACGATGTAATAAATATTAACATTTTTTCAGTCATTTTTAAACAAATTAAATTTGAAAAATTAAATTATCAGTAAATGCATATGTCAATACAACTATTTAGGTACAAAAACAACTAATGATCGAAACCCTACAACGCCTGTGAGCTTGGGAAAAATGAATTGAAAATAGCATCTTCTTAGATAACAAATTCCGCCAACGCCAAGCTAATGAAGTTTTTGGGCTGAAATTTTTACCACTTATTAAGGGTGCAAAAAGCTTCAAAAATCCTGAATTACAAGTGTCTGCGATGAAAATTGCATTAATTATTAGCAATTGAAAAAAGCGGACAATTTCGACCATTTTTGAGCTCTTGCGCATAAACAAATTATCGGAATTTAATCGGACTTGTCTTATTTTACTGATTTATTTAATACCTACCTTTTTTTATAAACCTTTTTTCTCTATGAATAACACTTTTTTTACGCGAGTCAAAAAACCACTTTTCCATAATTTTGACCATTGTTTTAACAAAGTTTCCCAACTAGTCTCGAGTTGATTTTTTGATATTTTGTTTATAACACGATTCGGAACAATATTCCGCAGAGAAACTTCTAATAGTATTTTTTTCCCGAAAAAAAGCTATAATGACTGGCCTATATATCGTTCATTTCAACAAAATTTAATATAGTTTCTATTTAAACTGGAATGTTATTCACCACGTTAATGCCTTTCCACTTTATGGCTGAAAGAATAAAAGGCCTATTGTGATAAATTCATATTTACTGGATTTATTCCGCCAGCTTTTTAATAAAATACGCTTTTAATTAGAGCCTTAGCAATTAAAAGAACTATCACACATTTTACGGCCTGTTTAATACCCGCTTTGTGACTCACAGTAAGCCTGGAGGTGCCCGTTTTTTTCTAAAAGCTCAAAAATTTGCTACAATAAAATTACGTTAGAAAAAAATTATAATACGCGCTTGACTGGGTGAAAAAGTCGGCTGCGGCGTGATACAAAATTCACGCTCGAATAAATTACCGCCGATCTACTGAGAACTGAACCCTGAAACGTGGAGCTTTCCATGAATCCCGAGACGAACAATTGGGATTTTATTTAATTGTTTTTGTGTTTCGGGATAACGAAGAAATTACGTACACGCGTGTTCCTCTGAGCTGGCAAGTGTGGGGAAATCGTGTAGGTATCTAATTATAACGTAAATTTCGTGTCTGGTTAAGTCAGGAACAAACCCAGGCAACTGTTTAGGTGAAAATTTAAATTATCTTCCTCGTTTGTCAAGTAATTAAACAGGTAGTTCGATAATACGGGGCTCTCGCTACGCCCGACGATTGTATATGACGGGTGTAATAATTTTAATTAATATGTTCAAAGAGCGTAATTACATATTGTGCTTTAATTGCCAAAAACTGTGCTAAAACCGATCTCTGTAGAATTAGGTCGAGGTTAATATAAATATCCCCTAGTATAAGATATTCTGTCACCCACACCGGCAGCGATATTACTACTATACAGTAATAATAAATTTATACACTTACTAGCAACCAAATATAAAATAGCCTATGTTACTCCGAGGAGATGTAGCTTTCGGTAAAATTGGTTGAGTAGTTTTTGAGTTAAATCGTAACAAACAAAAAATCAATCATCTTTCATCTAATGCGACCCTAATATTAATTTTAAAATAACTAACGAATCACGATATATCTACAGTGTAGAAAAGTACCGATGATCTATCAGAAGTTACGTGAGAGCGATAAAGTAAGTCATAGAAATCCATGTGATAGACAAGGATGGCTATAATGAAGGCGTCTAATAGTCAACGCCCATTTCGCCCTTCCACAAATAAGA